CTCTAAATTGACGATTCAAGAGGTCATGAAAGAATCAGATCATGCAACGCTCCTTGATCCCGAGGAGAAGGAAATCGTCCGAAATGCACGAAGGCGGTCCAACATGCGTCAGGAGACCAATGAGGAGAGGATACACCGCCTCGCCAAACAGAGATGGTACAATCGCGTGGCGGGTACCCCTGCGGCAAGGATGAAGAGGCAGAAAACTCACTCGAAGGAGGAGATCGCTGCCTTCGTTGCCCAGGAGAACAGTAAGTGGCCGGAAGTGCGTGAGCAGGAGGTGGCACAGTACCGGGAGGACTACTCGCAGAAGCTCGCGGGAGGGAGGCGAGCTGTAGAAGACGGTCCAGGAGACACGGTGCCGGAACCACCGCGGAAGAAGTCCAAGACAAAGGCTGAGTAAACGCAGAGCCTGGCAAGCCTGTATCACCAAGCCGTCAAGGGTTTCTTCCCCTGCGCAGTCATACACATCGAGACCTGCCTGCTGCTGTCACCACCAGTACTCCCACTTCTTGCCATTTGCGCCGCCAATGCGATTGACACCAACTCCCAGTTCTCTGCAGTTTTCAGCGACAGGATGTCCGGGCGGAGCCTGGCAAGCCCGCTGCCAAGGACCCTGCCGTTTGAAAGACGAGGCGAACATACCAGAGCCTGGCAAGCCTGGATGAGTCTACTTCGTCGACGATGGCCGAGAGATCGCGTATGTCGATACCGCCGCCATTGTCACTGCAGCCGTTGCTGATTCCAACAACCTGGCATATGGTCGCCGTATCTGGATCACCCGCTGATGTGTTGAGCTCCACGATCATCAAAGGGTGATGGCACCTTACGCCTGAGATGAAGGTCAGATGGTCACCTTTAAGACCACTGGTTAGGGGTAAACCAAAAACCCTGGTTCGTGGGACATCCAGTGAATACCCACCGAGGTCGGCATGGGCAGCCGCCTCGTACTCCAGCTATGAGTTCATACTTTTTCGCAGTGCTGGAGACCAGTACTCTTCTACCACATTCACCCAAGAGAAGAGGAAGCCAAAATGAACTCTGACAAAGCGACAGCTTTTCCAGCCACTAGAATGTGTTGCGACCAGACTCGACGTCATCTTTACTCACCTTCGTCGTCCAACTCTACCATTTTTACAGCAACAAAAGCTCTGTACAGCACACCTTCTGCAAACCTGCGCCTGAAAGATTCTCGACTTGAAGCAGGTATATTCTTGCCCCGATCATGCTCAAACAATAAAGTTCAAGAGCGTTAAGCGTATGTTCTGCTCAGCGTACATTCCATCACTATCAACAGAGCAGACATACGCAACACCAGATATTCACAGCCCAGATCGGCCTAAACAGCCACCGTGTATTCAAAGCATCATAACATTGCGGCAAACGTTAGAGATTACTCTATTATGGAACAACCTGCAAAGTCCCGCGATTTGCGACAACATTCACCGGTTCACAACGAGCGACATGTTGACCAACCAGCTTCAAAGCCCCAATTAATGCAGATACGTTATCAATCAATTCCTTCGCATTCAGGCCTCAGATACACCATATCATCGATTTGCGATATACAGCTTCTGCCGCTTGTCGAACTCGTAATTGCACTACTCACATCATCAAATCGTCAAGAGACCAGTTGCAGTCGTACGCTAGCTTCATCTCACTTGCTCAACTGCCTCAAACATCTCTCGATATACTGCTACACTACCTGGTAGTAGAATTTTCTACCCACGACCTTTACGTCCATCGACACATTATTGCCTCTTGAGCATCAAAAGTATACTTGTCAAACACACTCTAGTCTCCTCGCTTAACACCTTGCCACCAAAGTTTGGGTGTGCTACAGCTAACACTGTTCCACTTTTCCAAGCTTGCCATTTAAACAGTATCCAGCAAACGGAACAATATCGGCCCAATGTCACAACTCACCTCAATCGACAGAATCAAACGAGAGACATAGCCATGCCATTCCCGCAAAACGTACGCTACGCTTTGCTTTCAGCTGGCGCAGCACAAAGTCTGATCACTGCTTCTGCCAATGCCACGCCAAAAGCCCAAGCTGTCATGTCTGTTGCTTATTCATTTCATGCGCTTAATACGAACACGCGACCTCAATCACCAAATCAGTATCCCTCACTGATTTCAAGCTTCTCTGCTCTTTATAGCGCAGTCACCAAAGCGCCTATGTCTCCACAACCGTGAGCAGATCTAGATCATTTCCAGTTCTCGGCCGCCGTGGACGCAAGAAAAGAAGGATCACAGTCGCAAGCGAACTACGATTGGGCAACTGCCATCCAATCAGTAAACTCCCTTGTACCTGTGCTTCGCTTCGCTCTATCCAAGATATCCTCACAAGGGCGTTATATTTTGAACGTGCCACATTCATACCTCGGAATGTCCCGCAGAACTTATCTGATCGGCGACACCAGTATTTCAGCCCCATCAATGGACAATGTCTACATTGATTAAAACTTGCAGAAGTAAAGGTCAGTCTGATACTGATCGCTACCAAGTCACGACCTCCTACAGTCAGATCGTGAAACCCTATAAATTGCAGATTACCGAGACGACGCCTTATAAGTTACTTCCTTACCTAGCTTGCATAAGCTACTGCAAGTGAGCTGACGCAAATTTTGAACAACTTCAATCCAGTAATGCATTAGATCCATGATTTGGCTACTACGTAACTTTAATCAGACTCGAGCACACTGATTGAGCCATCAACAGTCTGAATCAACAATTGGCCTAGAACCACTCGGGACCATCGAAGGGATCCTCTTGCTACAAATTTCCATGACTCGCAAGATTTGTTGGTGGTCAATCCCCCTCATTAGTTCTCTTAACGATAGCGCGCCACGCTGGATGAATATGAGAAATTTAAAGATATGTCACAATATGCTACCCTGCGACATCGATTTTCAAGCCGCTGATCATACCTCGTTTCGAATTTGCGACTTCGTAATCAGCAGGCTCTCACGAAGGCCACTTCTGTACGTTCTATGGTTTGCTTTACGCTCGCTACATGGATTGGACTCATCTGGCTCAACCATCAATGAGGGACTTGTTACTCCCAACACGCGTACTCTCCTGATCACGCTGGGTACGATCGCCAATCGTTACCCCTCGAACATGAGATTGATCTTGAACACCCTGTGCGTACTCCGCTATGCCCTCCCGTCTTATTGATCATGTCGGGTAAAACCCTAAGGTTATCTTATGCCGCTTCAAATGAGCGCATCACCACTAAACAGTTCCTCGAATTGCTCAATATCCTCATGACTCAGAACCCGACCGTGCCAATAGGAAAGCACAGAGACACAGGATCGCAGGCTTGAGTTTAAATCAAAACGATGGCCAGTGTCATGCCATGATTACGCACACACTATCTCTTCGAGTGCAGATATCTAAGGGTACATAAGTCTTTGAATGCCAGTTCTTTGGACGGACTTCAGCCTTTACTACGTGGAAGCCCAACATCTAGGCCTACATGGTAGTTGGAGTTCGCATTTATGACATGACCACGAAGCGTCATGCGCTACATCTCAATTCATGTCAGCTCAAAGGCAACTATTCCAAATCCCTCTGCTACAGCTACCACTATACAGCAGTACATTACGTGCATGTCCTCATCGGCTTCACCTCACCGTGCAAACATGCCTCCACCACTTAAGGAGGTACTTATATTCACTCTAGCCACCCGATGGTAGCAACATTAACACACAATTCTTGTGAAGATCCAGTCAGCGTCGCACAGACGCCATCAGTGCCAGCAAAAGAATCACTCCCTCCACATTTGCAGCGTCACGATAAACGCACTACGAATAGCGTCAACATCGCTAACCTTGGCTGCAACAGCTAGGTTCATCCGTGAAATGAGCCTAAGCCCTTCATCCTAACTCACAACCTCAGATGCAGTCTCGATGGAATAAGTCTAACCATTATCATTGCTGAGAGAGAGCTATACTGGCGCTTGATGCGTTCCTTGGCCGTCTGGATGCCATACGACTGTGACCATCAATCTGCACATGGATCTTTGCGGTCAAGTAAGACTGATGCACGAAATCATTTTGGCAGCCAACAAAAAAAGAAACAAAACAAAAAAAAAGGAGAGGAGCCACAGCATTCTCAATCTCTTTGAAGAAGCAGCAGGACATTTTGGGCAATGGTAGGCAGTACTCACTTATCCGCAATGACCGAGATATGGCTGGCTAATATACGTATCCACAGCAAACCTTCCGAATACAGTCGAAGAGACTACAAGCATGTAAGATTCAAGTATACCAGGTAGACAAACACCCGATAAAGTCTTCTACTTCCTGGCCGTTATGAGTATTGCCGGGCAGCATGCAATCAATCTGGGACAGGCTTGTCGAAGAGCTCTCAACGTGGAACGCGGACTTTTCCAACTTCACTCAAGCTGATCGTTGAAACTTATTCACACGGCCATTGAACAGCTCACCTGTTGATGTCCGTAGAGAGTAGGTCACTGGAACACTCCAAGTTGTACATGGCCGATCAAGAGGTACTTCGCTCCTTCAATGATGGTTCATTTCCGAGAGCAAGTGTGTCAGATTCGGCTTGGCTGATGCGAAGATATCAAGCAATTATGGGCATGTCGGAAATCGTGATCTGGAGCTACAACCTCGAGAACGGTAAGAAAACGACCCACCATGGGATTGCTAATTCACAAGTAACATTTACACGACCATCGTCGCTGCATATGCAACAATGTTCTACTGAAGCTGGAATAAAGTCAAGCGCGTCTCTTACGTAGACATTTGTAGGCTCGATCATCCATGCATATCTAGTTGCGAGAATTATGCTAGTACTGCTCGTTAGATTAGATCACCAATCTCTTGTATAAGTTGGGCATCAGCGAATTGTAGCAGACATCAGCACAACCCCTCCGACGTATGAGAAGAAAGTCCGAGGTGCAAAGGGTTTGGGCGTGTGTAATATCGAACTAGAAAAGGGATCAGCAAAAAGTTAAGGTCTCAAGGCATTGCCCCCTGACAGAGTCGAACTGGCGACCTCGTCATAACAGTATGAGATACTAGTGACGCGCTGTTTGAATGTCAGTTAATGATTAGACAACCAGAGATGTGAGTGAGTCGTACCTCTACCATCTGAGCTAAAGGGGCCGAGCAATCAATTAGGAAGGATAATTGATGCTTTGTTGAGCTGCGAATGCAAAATTTGCTTTAAGAAGCTAAAATTTTGGGTACGTTGGAGCATAAGAGTCCCTGCTTACGCCAGCTGAGGGAGCCCGCCAAAGACCAGAAACCCGCTATTAGCCAGTTTAGCTTTACCCTTGGCATCTCGTTATACGTGTCTAAGAAATCAGAATTCATTCTCAGTAGTTGCCAAGGTTTGAGGATGGAATGCCCAAGAAAATACTTGCTCGGAGAGTCCGCTGCAACATATTGAGAATGAGCGTCTCTATATTAGGATAGCATTTCTCCAGGACTTATATATTGGTACTCTGTGGCGTACCTGGTTGTCCCCCATCATCCTAGCAATGCGTGGAGTTATTGAGGGTCAGTAGAGAACATGACGATCACGAGAGCTTATAACTAGCCGTGGTACTGTTATACTATTTGAATGATCAATCTAATTGATTGATCATGATTTAAAGCACTATTTGAGTCTGTTAACAGGGATGTTTGAGTGTTCTGTCGACATTATACTCAACACTTTCATCATGCAAAATATGCCTCTCTATTAAACGCCAAGACCTGAGCTCCGGCCTAGCAGGACAGCTTGCATCGAGGGCTTTGAAGCCAGGAGGTCGCGAGCTATACTGCTATTATTGACATTTCAATAATTACCGTCAACTAATACTGCATTTCCTGATAGCTACTGCGATTCCTTTAACCTTGGTCTTTAGCTTCAAAACTGAATCGGCCTCTGCCAAACTACAACGAGACATCCTGCATAGTGACTACAATGGCACCGCAACGCACCAAATACTCTATACTCCTGCCGACATACAATGAACGCCGCAACCTGCCCATTGTTGCATGGCTACTAAAGGAGGAGTTTACCAAGGCGTATGTCTAGACCCTGAGCGCATTCTGCACTCTGCATTTTCCTTCAGAGCCACCAGTGTCGCTAACTCAACTTCTCCACAGCAAGCTAGACTGGGAACTCATTATCGTCGACGATGGTTCTCCTGACGGCACACAGGACATCGCAAAGCAGCTCATTGCCGCCTATGGACCCTCGAACATCAAACTCCACACCCGCACCGGCAAGCTCGGCCTCGGCACCGCATACGTCCACGGCCTGCAGTTCGCGACGGGCAACTTCGTCATTATCATGGATGCAGACTTCTCGCACCACCCCAAGTTCATCCCACAGATGATCGCCAAACAGAAGGAGGCAGACTACGATATCGTGACTGGCACGCGCTACGCTGGCAACGGCGGTGTCTATGGCTGGGATCTGAAGAGGAAGCTGGTCTCAAGAGGAGCGAATTTGTTCGCCGACACGGTGCTTATGCCTGGTGTGAGTGATCTGACTGGCAGCTTCAGGCTGTATAAGAAGGAAGTCTTGCAGGATGTTATCCGCAAGACGGAGAGCAAGGGATACAGCTTCCAGATGGAGATGATGGTGCGCGCGCTCGGGAGTGGGTACAAGGTCGCTGAGGTGCCCATCACATTCGTCGACAGACTATACGGCGAGAGCAAATTGGGAGGGGATGAGATTGTGGAATACGCCAAGGGTGTGTTTGGGCTGTGGTGGAAGGTTTGAAGGGTGTGTCAGGGAATGGAAAGGAAGCATGGCGTTATCCAGGCGCCCCATCATGATGATTTTCAAGAGCAAGGGCGGAAAAGAGAGGGAAAAGCTCATAACTCGATTGTTCGTTCAAAAGTCGCCAATGGTTACCTCAGTCCCCATTTGCCTTCGATGAAGTCTATCAGGTCCATCATGTCTGCACATTCCATCAACCGCCGCTTTTCTCTCTTCCCCATACCCTCCATCCTAGCTGTCATCTCACCAACATGATGTAACACCAGTTGGAAAGGGATGGGCGACCTAACAGCAGATTCCAGGAATTTGCGTACTGCCTCGACTGGTACCTTCTGGTCTCCAGCAAACATCGTCGGGTTCTCTAACAACCCTCTCGCGGCCATCACACCATCTGCATCTGTGATTTCTGCAATTTTCTTCACGTCCTCCAGCGAATATGCATCTCCATTCGCAAAAATGGGAACACCTGCCCCATTCTTTAACGATCTAATGGCCTCATAGTCAGGTGGTGTGCTCGATCTTTGGCTTTTCAGCCTGCCATGTACGGTAAAGTAGTCTACGCCAGCAGCCTCGACAGTCCTCATCCAGTGCTCTGTAACAGCAAGATCCTTGTGGACTCTGATCTTGACACTGACGCTCCTTCCCCTTCCTCCATCTACTCTGCTCAACCGCTTCTTCGCGGCGGATACGATCGCAGCAACTGTGTCTGCGTCGCCCATGAGGGAGCATCCTATCCCTTCCTTCATCGCCCATGATTGAGGACACCCACAGTTCAAGTCTACGCCATCGACCCAGGGTGCTATCATTTCTGCCGCACGAGCGAATTCCTCTGGGTCGGAGGAAGCAAATTGAGCGATCAGAGCAGGTCTCCTAGAGGTGCGGTCATCTATTGGCATTGCCGACGGCTGTTCCGCTGGACAGGTGGTGAAGTCGCTGTCTCGGGCGATTGACGAGCGGATGAATTCGTGGGCGAGGATCATGGGAGTGTATATCACATCGACAGCATACGAGTGTAGCAACAAACGGAAAGGAAGCTTGCTGTATCGAACCATCGGTGCAGAAACTGTGGATGCGATATGAGATGAAGGTCATTTTGACATTCAGCACAGCACGTAGGCTGATGACTGTGGGGTGCAATGGATAAGATGCAGACGAATTAACCTACCGCGAAGAGGTCTTCCTTCATCTCGTGCATGCTGTAAAAGCTCCAGGACTCTATATCGAAAAGGACATAGTGATCAGCTTCGCGCCACCATCTTCAACTTCTCATCGCAGCAGGAATGGTATGTATCATGACCATCGTTATAGCGAAGATCGTCAGGTGACCTTACCTTGGCGTTGCTTTGGAGCAGCCATCCTGCTGATCATGAGTTGGAGTGCGCAAAGTCCCCTCGCTGCCCATGTTCGCCGTCACAGTTGCGTAGAGTAGAATATATCTTAAATCAACCTGTGCGACTGGGGATATATTGGGGTACATGGATACTTGCAGCGGGTTGCCGAATTGGAGTGACCCTGGCACTCCCGCGGCGGATTGGCGAGAACCTCATCCATGGTTATCTTATCGTTTTGCATCTGTTATATCTTATCGTGTTGCATTTGTTATGTCATGTTATGTCGTCCCATCTTTTGTTCAATGGAATGCCAAACAGCACTATGGCCTTCTGTCGCCTCAATTGTCGCGACCCGGTTCTCACTTCGCAGCTGAACACATATGACAGTCCACAGCCATAAACAGCAGATCATCTGACGAACGTGCTGTCATGTATCTCTTGCACGTGCAACAGGCATCATCCCCGCGAGTAGTCATGAATTTAAGCTCGGCACCAGCTCGAGTTCAACGTTTGGCTATCATCGGTACTTCATGCAATGACATCTACTTACTTACATAAAACATGGTGGTGGCAGAACTGGAGACAGGAGATCTTATGATATGCTCAGGCCGCCAATGGTAGTTGAGAATAGAATATCCTGACAATCGCTTGCCATGAGCAGGCCACTAGTCTCCCCCTCTCACGCCATCAATTGGCATCACCAGAGTAGAGAAAGACGAAGCACTCCATTTGCGCCTTTCCTCCCTCGAAATAGCCTAAACTAGCCAATACAGTGACAACCCTGGCAGGTCGCGAGTAGTCATACAACACAAGTTTTGGTTGATGTGCGCCGAGTAATCTTTTGCCTATGCTCTAGGACATCACCCCTTCAGCCCATTGCAGCACCACCTAGCATCACACAACATTCGCCAGACTTGTCTCCTGCTCTAAGCCCAATATTTGCTAAGCTCTTGACCGCCTGTAGATACCAATATCGCCGATCTTACTGAGCAATCCCTAGCTGACTCTTGTATGTGTGTGTGATTGCGGTTGAAGGACCGAAATCTGCGTCTCAACCTTAAAGCCTACACTTGTTCCATCCTTCCTGTCTGACGCTGTCTGTTGCATAAGCCCCTGTCACTGCCTGCGCTCTACTACTATTTCATCTGCAAGCCATTCCCAATAGTATTCCAGCTTAAGTTGCACGATAACGACCACAGCAGCAATGGAAACTACCAAATATCAGCAGCTCGCTGAGCACTGGAAACCTGCCCCAGAAGCAAACCCTTCTGGCAGCACATTCCTCCCTTTACTCGAGTTGCCCTCCAGACCGCCAAAGGGTAAAATGTCACCTTTCTTGCGCCTACCAACAGAGATCAGACTGCAGATTTATTCTCTGCTGTTGCTCCCGCACACGGAAACCGACCTCCTCCCCTCCTACCAGCGCGTTGCCTCCTCCACCCAGGACTACTTCGACTACGAGAAGCGACTCTATGGTACCGATCGTCCCGCAACCTCAGATCTCAGCCGCCCAACCCTATTGATCCGCACACTCGACCCTCTGCGCTACAATGAGCGCTACTCACCGCCCACAAGCTCCACCCGACCCTCGCTCGAGCGCCAGACCTACAGTGTGCGCTGCGGCCGCTTCAATGCCAGGACGCTCAAGACCACCTATCACTGCGTCAACAACCCGCCTAATCTATCCGCAGGCGTCGGCATCCTGGGCGCAAACCGCCAGATCCATGCCGAGGCCGCCGAGCTCCTCTACTCCTACTACACCTTCGACTTCGATACACACGTCGAGGCTATCCAGCCCTTCCTCTCAGACCTCACGCCGTTCAGCAGGAGCTGCATCCGCAGTACCCGCATCGTGAAGCGTGCGCTGGCATATGAGAAGGACTTTGATCGCTGCGAGTGGAGCAATGCTTTCGCCTATCTGAACGCGGCAGACAGTGGGATCTTCCTGCGCAAACTTGAACTTGCTGTAGTGGCTGGTCGGCCAGGGAGGACGGGTTGGGACAGGATACCAAAGTACAAGGCGGCGGATTTCAACATCTTGATCGACATGGAGGGCA